AGGGGCGCGTGAATGCTGGACGAGCGACGGTGTCAACGCTCTCAACTGGCTTGGAGGCGTCGGGGCGCCTCCCGTGCAGAAGCTGCCCATCGACCTTGCAGCGCCACTCGCTCGATTTGATTTTTGACCAGTGCGTCAGATTCGGCGGACCGCCAGCCAACATCGCCCCCAAAGGCTGCCTTGCTGACCTCTGCTCCACTTGCCTGCCATACACCGCAGGGCACAGCGACGTGGTCTCCTGCCGCAAGGACTTCGTGGGCGGAGCAGAGGCTCTACGTCGCGATCTCGGTCTCCGTCAACCCCTGTGTCGATCCTAAGCTACGTCATCCCGTCATTTATGGCCAGTTCATTGCCTATTTGTGTGTGTGTGCGTGTGTGTGTGTGTGTGTGTGTGTGTGTGTGTGTGTGTGTGTGTGTGTGTGTGTGTGTGTGTGTGTGTGTGTGTGTGTGGGGGGGCGGGATGCTTCGACTCCTGCCCTCTCGAGGCCGCCGGGCTTGCCGGGCGTGTTCGTCGCGTCAAGAAGTGAGGCCGGCAGCGATTGGTCTTCGACGCGCGGGGCAGCAACGTCCGCTGTAGGCCGCCCCCTTGCGCCGAGCTCCCCAGCGGCGGCGCCTCCGCCCGCGTGGGGGCACAGGGCAGCGGCGACGCCTGGTTCAGCAGCGGGGGGACCTCCAACGCCTTCTACGCCATGCAGGCGCCGGAGGGCCTCTGCGAGTTCGTCTCCCTGTCCCCTGTCAGAGCCGACCTGGCTGGCGCGGCTGCTCTGGGCGGCGTTGCTGTCCACGAGTCGGAGTGGCTGCTGTCGGAGCTCGCCGTCCTGCCGATGGGGTGGTCGTGGGCCCTGCGCCTATGCTATGGCGTCGCCAAGGCCCTCCCGTCCCGTGCCCGCGTGGCCCCGGGGCAGCATGTCCGTGACCGCAGCGTAGGGGTCGGGCTTGGGCCTCGACACCTCGCCTGCGGGGCCGTCTGGTCGATTGTTGCCTGATGGCGGGCTGCCAGCGCGCGAAAGTCCGGGCCGTCGCGAGCAAGGTCGACCCCGAGTTGTCGTCGCTCGGCCACCAGCGCGCCGCGCGCATTTCGGCGCGACTAGCCTGGCGCCTTCGGTTTGCGATCGAGGATCTCCTGCGCCGACCAAAGGTTTGGGGCCCGATCGTTGAGGTCGTCGTCGGCACCTGCTGGTGGATCATGGCCCTCAAAAGGCACCTGTATTGGGTGCTCGGCTGAAGCTGCAGCCGAAATGGCAGTGGTGGAGACGTTTTGGGGCCCTTTTATGGGGGCTTCTCGGCGGCGAGCCCAAGGGGGGAAGTGAGAAGGGGCGGACCTTCTCAGAAATCTCGGAAGGCCTCGGGCCTTCTGAGCCGAAAAGTTCTCTAAGCCTTCCCCGAAGACACAGAACACTTCCCAGTTCTAAGAAGGCAAGGGGGCTTTGAGAAGCCCCGCCGCCTTCTCAGAAGGCCTTCTCCCTTCGACTTCCCTCCCTGGCCGCCGCCAGTCTGTTTGGCCTCTTCCTGGGCTTCTGGGTGCCTCTTGGCGGCCTCTTGGGAGGACGGTGGTCTCGGGGGCCATCCAGGAGTGGGGAGCTTCGATTGACAGTTTGATTTCCCCTTCTTGGTCCTTGGTGGCCTTCTTGGGCGGGTCTTGGTCCGTTTTGGACGCGTTCAAGGCCGAAGAGGCGAGCAGGCGAAGATAATACAAACTTCCACCGGTTTTGCTTTTTATCTATCTGAATTAGCCTCTTGCGTCAGCCCCTAAGGGGTTCCATGACAGGCCAGAAGGACCCCAAGACAGCTCCAGGGCCATTTTCGGACCCCATTCCCTGGCGCGCGGAGCGCGCTGGGGGCGGCGCCAGAGGCGCCGCATGGGAGAGCCAGCGCCGATCCAAGAGATCCGCGCGGACCTCCGAAAGTTTGTGTTCATGTTGACATGATTTTGTCTTCTTCCTCGAAGGGGGCTCCAAGAGAGGAGCCCCAGATCCATTAGACTTCCAATCGCGCTGTCGAGCTCTTCTGAGCGAGTCCCGCGCGAAGGCTCGGGAGCGCCGAGGAGCGCCCGCGAGTACCTGCCGAGGGTGTGCCGGCCTCCGGGGTCCGAGGCTTTTTCATAAGTGCGTGCAGGATTTGCGACATGGAGATCTCCACGGGGCCTGAGGACACTCCGCCCAGCGCCTCGCAGCGCGGTGGCCGATCAGCAGGATGACCCAGACCCGTGCTGCTGTGCTTTCGCGTGCTCTCGATTCGACCAGACCTGGCCTCTCAGACGCCCTGGGTTGCTGCCCCCCCCCGCCGCCTGATCCGCGGCCCCCGTGCGCGCCCGGGAATTTAGTCGCGGCCGCAGCCCGACCGTGACTGCTCGCCGCCGGCGCTTCCGCCTGCGGCTGTAACAAAAAAAATCGACCAGACCTGGTGCCTGTTCCCCGTGGGCCGGTTCTGCGTGTGCACCGTGCACCTCCGGCACGCGCACGAAGAACCTCATGCTCCGACCGCGGCTCCTTCTCTCCCGCCCCTCTCCTCTGCCCGGCTCCGCCCGTGCCGCACGGTTCGTCTCCGGAGCGGCTGTCCTGATGCTTCGCCCTCGCTGGCGCCCGCGGACCCAAAAGAGCGTTCCTTTTCAATCTGGCTGGGTCTGTTGTTTGTGCTTCGCTTTGTGTATATCTAAAACAGGGCTAGGATCGGGATAAATCGCTCCAGAGCGTTCCTGAGCGCTCTCAGAGCGTTTCGGAACGCTCTGGGGCGGCCGTGGCGCCCAATACATCCTCCAAACCCGCCGATTCTCAGAGATTTCGAGTTATCCCGATCCGATTTTGTCCTGATCTTCGCGTCGTTTTAATATCTCGACCAACTCCTTCGGGCTTCGTCGTGGGTAGTGTTTGGGCTTGCCCCAGGGCCTGGCACGGGCCTCCAGAGGCCATCAGGCTGGAAAAGTTGCCCGTCACGATTGCTTCAGGGCGCTGGGTGTCGAGGAGGTCCCAAGAACCGTCCAGGAGGCACTCCACCACGCTCCGTTTTCCGTCCTCTTCGAAGCTCTACCTCCCCGTCTCCCTATCACTCCCTCTATATCCTACACGCTCCTCAATACCGCTCCTGTTCCTCCGTGCTCCATCCTCCTGGTGATCCAGCTCCCGTTCGTCCCCGTCTCCTGCGCCTCCTCCTCCTCCTCCTGCTCTTCCACCGTCGGCGTCAGAGCCTCTCCGCAACGGCTTCATGCACCAGGTCGGTCAGCCGGCCTTGTGCTAGCCGCCCCTGTGAGTCGTGCTATGTTCTGTGATTGCCCGTCCACCTTGCACACGATTGCCCGTCCACCTTCCACCCTCCTCTTTGAACCCCCTGTCCCCGTGCTCCTCCGCCCTCATCCTCTCCGTCGCGCGCCGCCATGAGCAGACGAGCCCAACGCCATCTGGCCTTCCCCGGCAACGCACTCTCATTCTCTCTGCGTGCTGCGGGTGCAAAGCAACGCCAGATGCCTGCTGGAGATCTCTCGCTTGGCTTCGTCGATGGGGATATGCGAGGCGCTCGCTCTCTTCTCTGTCGCCGTCTCGCTTGGCCTGTCGAAACGCCGCTGGTGCCCAGTTTGGCCCCGTCGTGCTTGAGCAAACTCTCGTCTGGCTGAGAGGGAACGGCAGGACCAGAGGAGGTCCCAGATGCACCTCCTCCTCCTCCTCCTCCTCCTCCTCCTCTCCGCCTTCTCCTCCTCCTCCTCCTCCTCCTCCTCATCTCCTCTTCCTCCTCCTCCTCCTCCTCCTCCTCCTCCTCCTCCTCTCCGCCTTCTCCTCCTCCTCCTCCTCCTCCTCCTCATCTCCTCTTCCTCCTCCTCCTCCTCCTCCTCCTCCTCCTCCTCCTCCTCCTCCTCTCCCTCCCTTTCCCCCTCTCCCGCCCCCTCCCCCCCCCCCCCGCCCGCTCCTCCAGGTTTTCCTCCCACTGCAAGAAGCGCCCCCCTGGGAAAACTATGGCGCATCTGGGCCTGCCACTCTTTTCGCGAGGGCCCCGTTCTGGAAAGGAGTTGCCTTGCACTTGTCTGGCGCGATCGGGAACGCAAGGGAATTTATCATACAGCCTCCTCCTCCGCCTCCTTCTCCTCCCCCTCCTCCCCCTTCCTCCTCCTCCTCCTCCTCCTCCTCCTCCTCCTCCTCCTCCTCTTCCTTCCCCCCCTTCTCCGCCTCCTCCTCCTCCTCCTCCTCCTCCTCGTCCTCAACGAGGTGTCCGGCGATATATCCCTTTCTAAGAAGGACCGCCTTCCATTCTTGTAGCTGTTGCACATGTGTGCGCACGCGGGCATGGACTTCGAGAAAGTCTCAAGCGAGCCGCCCTGCATCCGTATAGTGCTACATGCGTTGGAGTCGTGGGATTCTCGCCGGGCCGTCCTGGGCCGTCTACGGGCCTTGTTGGGTTGTCTTGAGACTGTCTTGGGGGATTGCCACATCTTGGCGCTTTCTTGGGCCGTCTTGGGGCCGTCTTGGCGGCCCCTTGGGCCGTTCGGAGCTGCATGGAGCCCGAAAAGGCCAGGACTCCCCAAACTTTCCTCTCATTGCCTTTGGGCTCTTCAAGGGGCTCTGGGGCTGTTTTGAGGACATCTTTGGCCGCCTCAGGGCCATGGGGGCCGTCTTATGGCATATGGGGGCATCTAGGTGGTCTTGGTGGCCTGCCTCAGCCGTCTTTGAAGCTCGGGAGCGCGGATCCATCGTTTTTTGTGAGGGATCGCGGGTGGGTCCGTGGTTTTCTACAAGAGATTGTTGCCCCGGGAAGGGGGGGCGGTGCATGCGACCAAGCGCTGATAGGGGGTGATCCTTAGAAGATTGCAGAAACCCTGCCGGGCAGCAATTGGCGTTCTACCACGCCTCAACGTGCCAGGGGACACGATGTCGGATACTCATACTGTTCGATGATGAATGAGACCAACACATGTGTGTGCTTGCACGGGAAGGTGAGGGGTATTGTTTCGTGTGATGTCTCCTGTTGTCATAATCTACGCTCAAGCCTCTTTCCTTCTCTCGTCAGAGGCGCCCATGAGACCTGCCGCCGACAGGTCCCCGCTCGCGGTCCTCGCGGTGGCCGTCGCCTGGGCCAGCTTGCGCGCGGTCGAGGTCGGCTGGCTGCCCGAGGGGCTGCCAGGGTTCGGCCCGCCGCCACCACCGCCGCCGCCGCCTGGGCCCGCGTTAGCGCCCGAGGGCTGGGGCACGCCGGCCTGGCTGGAGGCGGTCTGCCCGGCGGTGCCGCAGTGCCCGCCCTGCCCCTCCTGCTCGTGTCAGCAGGCGGAGTTCCAGGGGCCGACTCCAACCGAGCAGGCCGTGTTGTTGCTGGTGCCGCCCGTGCTCACCAATTTTCCTCGGCTGCTTGGCTGGCCGCTGGTGCGTGCGAGGCCGCTCCGCTGCGGGACGAAATGGCGCTCTTCGTGTTCGGCGAGGAGGAGGAGTGGTGCAGTGACCTGGCCCCGGACCAGTACGTGGCCATGGAATACCGGGGGGACGAAGTGGACCATGAGCGGATCTTCCTGTATCCGTGGGGCGGTGGGGTGTGTTGGATTCGCAGTCATGGCGGCGACGAGTACTTCCAGGACGAGGCGCGTCAGGCGGAGTGCCGGCCTGGCCAGCGGCCGATCGCGTCCGAGCGTGTGCAGCAGCCCGGCGGTGAGCTGATGCCGATCGCGCGCTTCTTTGGAAGTAGCTTCCTGCCTGAGCTTGGCGTGCGGCTGCGGCTGCGGGTGGGCGATGATCCGCCTTGGTGGCTCAGAGAGTACCTGCGTGAGGAGAGGCTCTCTAACTCAGACCGCGTGGCCCGTGTGCTTCGCTGCATCTGCGAGTCTATGTACCCGGCGGGCTGCTATGACCAGGTGAACCTGGGCGGGCCGATGGCGCTGGAGGTGCTCTTCAAGCGGCTCGCAGGCATCGTGGCCGCGCGCGCCAACCCGCATCGGGTGCAGTGGGACGTGGCGAAGAACTACGCCGGCGTGCAGTCGGCCGAAGACGTGGCGCGCCCGGTGCTGCGGGCGCATGTGGCGCGCAGGATGCGCGAGGAGCGCGAAGGCCAGCAGGCGCTGCGAGGCGCCCCCGCCGGAGCCCAGGAGGGCGGTTTTGGCGACGGCGGGGGCGGCGGCCGCGGCGGCGGCGGCGAGGAGGGCGCAGCAGGCGGGGGCGGTCGGGGACGTGGCGACGGCGGTCGGGGCCGTGGTCGCGGCGCTGGCGCCCCCGGGGCCACGTGGCGGGCCCGCCGGCCAGGGGGTCCCCCGACCCTGGTCGGCTTCAGGGGGCTGGTGGCCGCCCCAGACTGGCGGCCTCGCGAGGACAGCGAATCCTGTTCCCGCTCCCGCTGCTGCCGCTGGATTCTGCGCGCCCCGGGCGCGGCCGAGGTCGCCTGGACATGGTGAACGACGCGCTGAAGGCATTGAATTGCATGGCAGGTAGCAGGGAATTTTCTTGGGCTGCTCGCGGCCCTGACGTGCTGCCCGACGATATGCAGGCAGACGTCCAGCGGAGGGCGTGCGAGTTGGCGGGCAGCTGGCGCCCGCGCCCTTCGCAGCTCAGCGACGAGGCGGCTCTCGAGAAGCTGCTTCAGGGGCACTCCCCGTGTCGGGCGGCGGGATGTCCGACAGGGGTCACGTCCTTTAAGCTCGACCTTGTGAGCCTCCCTGGCTCGGTGCGAGGGCGCCCGCTGATCAGTGACGTGGCGCCCTCTGAGGTCATCAGATTTCTGGAGGACCTATCATGGGAGGATGCTAGCGCCGCCAGTTGATAAGTATGAGACAGTTCCCTACTTCGACCCCAAGTTGAGGTTCAATCAGAAGGAGCATCATCGGCTCCTTCGTCGCCTGGCAGACGTCGGTATTATATCGTGGACGTCCACTCCGAAGTGCCAGGTGGGTCTCATTACGGTGGAGAAGGACGGCGGCGCGGCTCGGAGTCTCATCGTCGATGCCAGGCGGGCCAACGAGTGCTTCCTGGCTCCACCAGGCGTCTCGCTCATGAGCTCGGAGGGTCTTTCTCGCATGGCGATCGAGCTGCCCGCCGACGCGCCGCTGGGCTCGGAGCGCGCCACCGAGCTGCTGAGCGACTTCTACCCGTCGATCCGGCTCTCGGACGTCTCGAACTGCTTCCACCGGCTACACGTGCTGGCGTGGCTGTCTGATTATTCCTGCCCCCCCCGGCGCCGGCCCGCGTGGTGGGAGCGACGGGCGTGGAGCTGAATGGGCGCCCGCTCGGCCGCGCGGGGGCAGTGGCGCCGTGCTGGGCCGTCCTACCCATGGGTTTCACGTGGGGCCTGTGAATCGCCCAGAGGATAAGCGAGGCCACCGTGGCCAAGGTGTCGCCCTCTTTGCCTGGAGCCCCCCGTGCGTGATCGCGGGCCGCCGTTGGTGGTGAGACCCGCTCGGGCCGAGGAGAGGACCAGGCTCGGGCACTACGTGTGCGTAGACAATCTCGGGGTGGTCGGGGTCTGCGAGTAGGCGGCCGGCGAGGCGCTCGAGCAGTTGGAGGCGCGAGGGCCTGCTGCGGCACAAGTCCGAGCTCTCGCGCGCTGGCATCGTCGCGCTGGGCGCGGAGCCGGACGGGGCCGCCCTGCGGACGCGGGTCGCGCCCGGGCGCTTCTGGAGCATCCATGGGGCGCTGGGGGCGCTGCTGCGGCGCCAGCTGGCTAGTGCCTGGTCGCTGGAGGTCGCCCTCGGCCACTGCGCGTTCGCCGCCCTGTGCTGCCGCGGGCTGCTCAGCATCTTCCACTCGGTCTACGCCTTCGTGGGGCGAGGCCGCGCCTCGGGCAGGGTGGAGCCGCTGTGGGGCGAGTGCCGTGCGGAGCTGCGCGTCTTCAGAACGCTCATGGTCTTCATGATGAGCGACTGGCTGCGCGGCTGGAACGAGCTGGTGGCGCAGACCGACAGCAGTCTCGAGGGCTACGACGTGGCTCAGGCGCTCTGGCCCATGCAGGCCGTGAGAGAGGTGGGGCGCACCTCTGAGCGCCAGCGCTTCCGTCGCGCTGGCTCCCATCGGGCCCGAGAGAGTGCCCTCGGGGCCGCGGGCTTCAGTCGGCAGGCGGACGGCAGCTGGTCAGTTGCGATCGTCGCGGAGGGCGACGAGGATGAGCCTTCCTCGGATGCGGCGCCAGACTGGGAGGTCGATCGATCCTTCCCTGAAGTGCCCGCCAGTCTTTTGAAGTCAGAGCTCTGGCGTCTGGTGAGAGTGCAGAAGTGGGGGCGACCTGAGGGTATTCTTGTCAAGGAAGCCCGAGCTTTAGTCAAGGGTTTCCTCCGTGTTGTAACGAGTTCGCGCGTCTGTGATATGAGGCAGCTTCTCCTTTGCGACGACATGGCGGTCACCCTCGCCTTTGGTGGGGGTCGAGCCAGCAACTTTTACTTCTCGTCCATATTCGGTTTTTTAGGCCCATTGTCTGGCCAGGAATGTCGTAGGGGCTGTGCGTTGGATTCCCTTCCGGACATCATTTCTCGGATAAAGGTGTTATGCTTTTCGAGAACAGCAGTGCCAGTGATATTTTCGTCGATGGTATCCCTTCCGTGAGTGTCAAAGGCGACGGCTTAAAGGGACTTTTGAACGCCCGCAATCCCGGCACCGATGTAATCTAGATGCTTCTGCCGTTGCTGTCCCCCGCTCCATATGCGTAGGCATTTCGTCTCAAGATTTACTGCGTTCCTTTCGTGTCCATTCAGATCCCACGTGTCCCAGTTGTGATGGCAGCCAGCAAGAGGCAGGCAGGACTGCCTCCGTCGGGGCCTCGGCCGAGCAAGAGCCAGCGTGGCCGCGGGTTTATGGCCAACCAGGGGAGGGCGACCCTGCGGCCCCAGGACGTCCAGCTAGCCCTGCGCGAGAGGCTGGGTTGCAGGCGCCAGGAGATGTGCCTTCCCGAGAGCGAGGGGCTGCTGAGGCGCGAGCCCGAGCTGGCCGACGTCGGCGAGAGCAGCAACGCCGACGACGAGGCGAGGCCTGGGCCCGAGGCCGCGCGGAGAGCCGTCCTGCGGCGCGCGGGCGGACGTCGCCCTCGCTACCGCCGCGATCGGAGTCAGCAGTTTCCTCGAGGAGAGCTCGGTGGCGCCGCGGGTGCTGGAGCGATGCCAGGCTGAAGTGGCCGGCTTCGCAGACTTCGCCGAGGGCCGCCCGCTGGTGCGCGACGTGCAGGTCGACGGTGTCCTGTTCTTCAAGGGCTGGGGCGCGCACGAGGGCGAGCATCTTCTGGCTGGTTTGATGTGTCTGGCTCCGGAGTTCTCGCGGGCTGGCCGCCGCCAGCTCCCCCGGGCCTTCCGCTGCCTGAAGGGTTGGTGGCGCCGAGGCCCAGGTCGCAGCAGGCGGAGCTGGCCGCTGGCCTTGTGGGCTGGAGTGGCATGGGGGCTGACGGAGCGTGGCTTCCTGCAGATGGCGGTCCCCCCCCTGGTCTCGCTCAGCAGCTACCTGAGGCCGAGCGAGTTGATGGGTCGCAAGCGCCGTGGTATCATTGCTCTTGCGGCTGGGATCTCCCAGTTCTGGAGCCTGTTGCTCTTCCCCTTCGGAGCGGGCCGAGCGGGGCAAGACCAACCTCAGCGACGTCAGCATCGTGGTGGATTTGCCGTGCCTCCAGTTCCTGGGGCTCATCCTGAAGGTGCTGGCCAGCGGGCCCGGGGAGGACGTGGCGTGGACATTCGCGTGCCCACAGCACCTCCCTGGTCGAGCTCGGGATCACCGAGGTCATCGTGCCGTGCCAGACGCGGCGCTCGGATCCGTCGATCGATATCGCGCGTCGGTATCGGGCGGTGTCGGAGGCGCAGCGCTGTGGCCAATGGGCGAGCGTGAAGAGCGTCCAGCGGTGCGGGAAGGGGGCCCGACTAGAGTTGGGGGTTGCTTCCCGCCAGCCTGCGCCAGCTGCTCGAGGCCCGCGAAGGGGCGCTCGAGGACATGCTCTTGGGCCGGCCGCGCGCCGTGGCGCCCCCCTGGCGGGTCACTCCAGAGGTCGCTACATCTTCGACCTCTGCTCAGGCAAAGGAGGTGTCGCGCGGGCAGCGACCCAGCAGGGTTGCAACGCTCGCGCGTGCGATCGGGCCCGCGGGCCCGAAGAGGACCTTGCAGACCCGAGGGTGCTGGGCCGCCTGGCCGCGTCGATCAGGCGCAGAGAAGTGCTGGGGGCGGTGATGGGCCCTCCGTGTGATGCCTGGGGTGGAGCCGCGGACCGCGGGCTGGATGGCCCCATTCGCTCGAAGATAGAGCCGTGGGGACTACCCGAGGCGTCGCTCGCGCAGCGGCAGTGTGAGAGGTTAAGGCTCGTTAGCAGAGTCTTTTGTTGTGCCTTGCTGTTGCTTCGTGTGCTCTGTCGCTGCTCCGTCCCCACCATATTAGAGCATCCCGTCCATTCTAGGATTTGGCAGGCTCCCGAGCTCCTAGAGGCCATCCGCGTGTTTAAGTACCGCGCTCGAGTTTTTGATCAGTGCCAGTTTGGTCTTAGTTGGCGCAATCGCACTAAGCTTGCCTTCTTCTTTATAGACGCAGCAGACACAGTAGAGTTGGATCGTAGGTGCAGGGGTAGCGCAGGTGCATGCAGCCGTGCGAGTCGGCAACATGTCATATTGGAGGGGGCCGCCCCGTCCGGCGTAAGGTGGACAGCCGTCGCAGCCTCTTACCCTCCGAGTTTGTGTAAGGCCATGGTCCAGACGTTGTTGTCCCATGAGCGTGATCGCATTGCCTCTCTAGTTTTTGGCTGACGCCGGCCTTCTGCCCCGCCGAGCTTGCGTGTCTTTTTGTCTTTTTACTGCCCTGTCCCGCCCGTCCTTGGGAACCGTTGGGATTGGGTCGCCCTTTTCGGGGTTGGGATGTCTTGAGCGAGAGCCTCATGCGTCTCAGGCTCTCGCCGTTTGTTGTGCTCTGATCGACTGGCGTCGAGTTCGCGTCGGCGCGTGGCACCTTGTGGCAAAAGCTGCCCCCGCGAGAAAAATGCAACAACACCTGTGTGTGCTTGCACGGGAAGGTGAGGGGTATTGTTTCGGGTGATGTTTCCTGTTGCCATAATCTACGCTCAAGCCTCTTTCTTCCTCTCGCCCCCCCCGCCCTGGCCCGTCTCCCTGGGGGTGTCTTGAGCGAGGGCCTCATGCGTCTCAGGCTCTCGCCGCTTGCTGTTCTCTGATCGACTCGCGTCGAGTTCGCGTCGACGCGTGGCACCTTATAACAGAAACTGTCCCCACGAGAAAAATACAGCAGCACCTATAGATGTATGTATATGTATATATACACAATATATTTATGAATGTATATGTATGAATATTGATATCGTCACATCGATCTGATCGTACTTATGAATCCCACGCAGCGGGTTGTTACGCTCCCGATGTGCAATCATCCATGTGGTGAAGGATACATGGTGCAGTGCATGTTGTCTATGGCGTGTCGTGTAGACTATCTGGTGACAGCTGTATGGCATAATCTCAGGGTGCTAGCTACATGGTGTAAGCTTTCTGGTGTAATCTATGTGGCGCAAGCCATGTTGTATAATCTATGTGGTGTACGACGTGTGTTGTAACATGTTGTGCACCTCGTGTGATTGAAGCTATGGTGTGCAAGCTCGGTGGTGCAATGCACGCGACGCAAGCTGAGCCCTATGCAGCGCGAGGCGAAGTTTCGGTATTCTCAGCCAGCGCACGGGTCGCCGACGATACGCCCATATCCGCTCACCAGGCGAGCTTTCGGCACACTCAGACGTCCGCCCAGCTCACGAGGCGCCCTCGAGTCGCCCACAGTTTTCTCACCTTGCGAACCCCCGCCACGCGCAACTATGACATTGTACTGTTAGCAATACCTGGGGGGGATGCGAATTCGACTCATCGCCAACCGCAAACCGAGAGCTGCACCCATTTCCCAAGCTAGTGATAACCCGAAGGATTGTCTTATCGGCAACGGTATCTCGCGAGATGAGCCATAAGGACAACGAGAAGGATACATGCACGGACTATGCACGGATGACGCACGTACTGATAATGATGATGATGGTATGGACGATGCCGAGGTGGAAAGATGATTCTGATGCTGCTGATGATGCTGCTGATGATGGTGAAGAGGATGATGAGGATGATGGTGCGGGTGCTGGTGCTGCTGCTGTTGCTAGTGCTGCTACTGCTGCTGAGGATGATGCTGATGCTGATGCTGATGCTGCTGATGATGGTAATGATGACGGTGATGGTGGTGGTGGTCATGATGATGATGATGATGATGATGATGATGATGATGATGATGATGATGATGATGATGATGATGATGATGATGATGATGATGATGTCGATGATGATTATAATGCTGAGGCTGAGGTGTATGATGAGGAGGAGGAGCAGCACGGGTAACAACACCATGATGATGATGATGATGATGATGATGATGATGATGATGATGCTGATGCTGATGCTGATGATGATGATGATGATGATGATGATAATGATGATGATGATTATGAGGATGAGGATGATGATGCTGATGCTGATGCTGATGCTGCTGATGATGCTGATGCTGATGCTGATGCTGATGATGATGATGATGATGATGATGATGATGATGATGATGATGATGATGATGGTTGCGAAAAGGTCGACGAGCATGGATAGTGAGTAGTAGGATGATGCATGGAACTAGGAGGACGAGGCGGAGGAAGAGGAGGAGGGGCGGGCGGACGATGAGGAGTAATGACGAGGACGGGTAATGCTCTGGATGAGTGCGAGTACGATGCTTCGAGCCTGCATCAGCTCGTGAAGGCTGGACGATGCTTGGAGTGTGCCTCTCGGGGCCTCTCCGCAGGGCCCGGCCTCGTGCTGTTCTTCCGGAGCGGAGCCTGCGCCCCCCCCCCTCGCCTCCCTTCCTGCCCGGAAGAGGGCGATAGAGGAGGGGTGTGGAGGATGACGAAGAGTGAAAAGGGGAAGCGACCACGATGAGCATTAATCAGGAAGTAGGGGGGGAATGGGTAGGAGGAGATAGGATGATGAGGAGAAGACTGCGTACTGTTAGAATGTGGTGATGACGATGGACATAGAGAGAACGAGAGAGAGAGAGAGAGAACACGAGCCGCGCACTTAAAGAGGTGCATCATCAATATCATGAATTAGTCCACTATCTATACCTCTGGCGTCTTAGCTGCTTGCCAGGCGTCGCACTGGCTTCTCGTGGTCGGCGGACGTCTTCGAACGAACAGGTCTGAAACTACCGAGCCGAGCGCTCTCATTCCAGAGTCTCCGTGGGTTTCAAAGCAAGCCTGATACCACCCGCAGAGCCATGGTAGGGACCAATGGCTAGGTGCAGGGGGAACGGGACCGGGTCAACCACCACTCATACATGACAACGGCTCACACGCCATAAACTGTTTGGCACACAGGCAAGAAATCCAGTTCAACTTGTCGCACGTACACATGGATGATACTCTGTGTTGGCTGATCAGGGCAGGGGGGGAGGAGGAAGTGGAGAAGGAGGAGGATGAGGAGGAACACCACCTTTTATGTGTTCTACTAGACCATCCAAAAACGATCTCTGGGCGAGTTGCCTTGATCAGGGAAGTGTAGCAATACGCAGTAGACGGGAGAGGGAGGCCTAAATACGCCTTCGCGGCTCTGTCGAATGAGAAGGATATGTAGGACGATGACGCCGAGGAGTAGCAGGGGGAGGAGGATAACCATTATCCCAGTGCGACCCTACCTAGGAGTTGGAGCCTCTAGGAAAGCAACATTAGTAGGAGCGGTAAACGCCGTCCTCCTCTTTCTCCTCATCGTCGTAGTTGCAGCAGTAGCGGTAGTAGTAGTAGTAGTAGTAGTAGTAGTAGTAGTAGCAGTAGTAGCTCCAGAACCGCCGACGCCACGCCGTAAGTGAAGCAGCAGCAGAAGCAGGCAGCAAGTCGCCGAGACAGCAGCAAAAGCAAGCAGGCACGGAGATGAGGGCGGGGCACTGGGGAGTTCTTTACATCTACATCTATATCTACACCTACATCTACATCGACACCTACATCTACATCTAGACCTACATCTACACCTACACCTACAGCGGCATCTACATCTACACTTGCATCTACATCTACATCTACATCTACATCAACAGCGAGACTCACAGCTACATCTACATCTACATCTACATCTACATCTACATCTACATCTACATCTACATCTACATCTACATCTACATCTACATCTACATCTACATCTACATCTACATCTACATCTACATCTACATCTACATCTACATCTACATATCTACATCTACATCTACATCTACATCTACATCTACATCTACATCTACATCTACATCTACATCTACATCTACATCTACATCTACATCTACATCTACATCTACATCTACATCTACATCTACATCTACATCTACATCTACATCTACATCTACATCTACATCTACATCTACATCTCATCTGCATCATCTGCATCTGCATCTATCTGCATCTACATCTACATCTACATCTGCATCTGCATCTGCATCTGCATCTGCATCTGCATCTATCATCTGCATCTGCATCTATCATCTACATCTACATCTACATCTACATCTACATCTACATCTACATCTACATCTACATCTACATCTACATCTACATCTACATCTACATCTACATCTACATCTACATCTACATCTACATCATCTACATCTACATCTACATCTACATCTACATCTACATCTACATCTACATCTACATCTACATCTACATCTACATCTACATCTACTTCTACATCTACATCTACATCTACATCTACATCTACATCTACACAGCACAGCTACAGCTACAGCTACAGCTACAGCTGCAGCTACAGCTACAGCTACAGCTACAGCTACAGCTACAGCTACAGCTACAGCTACAGCTACAGCTACAGCTACAGCTACGCTACAGCTACAGCTACAGCTACAGCTACAGCTACAGCTCAGCACAGCTACAGCTACAGCTACAGCTACAGCTACAGCTACAGCTACAGCTACATCTACATCTACATCTACATCTACATCTACATCTACATCTACATCTACATCTACATCTACATCTACATCTACATCTACATCTACATCTACATCTACATCTACATCTACATCTACATCTACATCTACATCTACATCTACATCTACATCTACATCTACATCTACATCTACATCTACATCTACATCTACATCTACATCTACATCTACATCTACATCTACATCTACATCTACATCTACATCTACATCTACATCTACATCTACATCTACATCTACATCTACATCTACATCTACATCTACATCTACATCTACATCTACATCTACATCTACATCTACATCTACATCTACATCTACATCTACATCTACATCTACATCTACATCTACATCTACATCTACATCTACATCTACATCTACATCTACATCTACATCTACATCTACATCTACATCTACATCTACATCTACATCTACATCTACATCTACATCTACATCTACATCTACATCTACATCTACATCTACATCTACATCTACATCTACATCTACATCTACATCTACATCTACATCTACATCTACACATCTACATCTACATCTACATCTACATCTACATCTACATCTACATCTACATCTACATCTACATCTACATCTACATCTACATCTACATCTACATCTACATCTACATCTACATCTACATCTACATCTACATCTACATCTACATCTACATCTACATCTACATCTACATCTACATCTACATCTACATCTACATCTACATCTACATCTACATCTACATCTACATCTACATCTACATCTACATCTACATCTACATCTACATCTACATCTACATCTACATCTACATCTACATCTACATCTACATCTACATCTACATCTACATCTACATCTACATCTACATCTACATCTACATCTACATCTACATCTACATCTACATCTACATCTACATCTACATCTACATCTACATCTACATATACATCTACATCTACATCTCCATCTATATCTACGTCTACGTCTACATCTACATCTACATCTACATCTACATCTACATCTACATCTACATCTACATCTACATCTACATCTACATCTACATCTACACCTATATCCACATCTACACCTACACCTACATCTACATCTACACTTTCGCATCGGTTTTGCTTTTGCTTTGCATTGCCTTTGCTTTTGCTCTTGCCTCTGCTTTTGCCTTTGCTTTTGCTTTTGCTTTTGCTGTTGCTTTTGCTTTGCTTTTGTTTTTGCTTTTGCTTGGTTTTGCTTTTGCTTTGCCTGCGCACGGACACACACACGCATGTGTTTGCATTCGCTCACCGGGTGTGCTTGAGAATGCTCCGAATGTGCTGTGGAACATACATGCGCACACACATATAAGTACATATATATATATATATGTATATATAGCAGCAGCAATAGTGGATGCTGTGCTGCGCTATACTACGCTATGCTATGCTATGCTCTGCTCTGCTCTGCTCTGCTCTGCTATGCTATGCTATGCTATGCTGCGCAATGCTATGCTGGGCTAGGCTAGGCTAGGCTATGCTATGCTATGCTATGCTATGCTGCGCTATGCTATGCTGCGCTATGCTATGCTATGCTACGCTGTGCTATGCTATGCTATGCTTTTGATTTGCCTTCGCTTTTGCCTTCACTTTTGCCTTTGCTTTTGCTTTTGCTTGGCACCCAGGGAGCGCAACTGGGGGAACCGCGCGTTTGCTTTTACCTTTGCTGTTGCTTTTGCTTGGCTCCCAGGGGACTGGGGGAACCGCCCGGGGCGGTTTGCACTGCCCGGCCCTTGTAAGCCAAGCGAGTAAGAACCCTTGTAGGCAGAGCCTAGGTAGGGAATGAAGGCGAATAGGAAGATGAAAACGATGATGATGACGACGGTGATGGTGGTGATGATGATGGTGGTGGTCATGATGATGGTGCTGATGATAATGATGCTGCTGATGATGCTGATGACCATGATGTTGATGATACTGCTGCTGATGATGATGCTGATGGCGATGATGATGTTGATGATGATGCGGTGGTGGAGAATAGGATTATTCCGATTTTGATGATGATGGTTCTGTTGTTGATGCTGACGATGATTATGATTATGATTGTGATGACGACGACGACGATGATGATGATGCTGATGATGATGATGACTATGAAACATATACTGATGCTACTGGTACTGATGCTGATTCTGATGACGATGATGATGGTGCGGAATCTGATGATGATGATGATGATGCTGATTCTGATCATTATGCTGGTGATGCTGCTGCTGTTGCTGATGCTGAGACTGCGGCTGATGCTGATGCTGCTGCTTCTGCTGAGGATGATGATGCTGCTGATGCTGATGATGATGCTGCTGATGATGCTGATGATGATGATGATGATTGTGTCGATGCTGATGATTATGTCGATGATGCTGATGTTGATGATGATGATAATAATTATTATGCAAATGAGGATGAGGATGCTGATGATGATGACGATGATGATGACGCTACTGATGATGCTAATGATGCTGATGATGCTGATATGGGTGATGATGCTGCTGCTGATTATGGTGAGGATGATGATGATGCTGATGCTGATGCTGGCGATGATGCTGATGCTGATGATGATGATGATGATGATGCTGATGCTGATGACGGTGATGCTGATGCTGATGCTGATGCTGATGCTGATGCTGCTGATGCTGATGACGGTGTTGTTGTTGATGATGATGGATACCATGATTATGACGATGCTGATGATGTTGACGTTGATGCTGCTGATGCTGCTGATGGTGCTGATGATGCTGATGATGATGCTACTGATGACGATAATGATGATGATGCTGCTGCTGCTGATGATGATGATGATGCTGAGGATGATGATGCTGATGCTGATGCTGATGCTGCTGATGCTGATGATGATGATGATTCTATTGATAATGATGATGATGTTGAGGAGCAGGATGAGGGGTGGAGGAGGGGGATACCACATAAGAAGAAGACGACAACTAATAAGCAGGATACTAAGACGAATAATAATATTGTTACTAAGACGAGGAAGCATAATACTAATACGAAGAAGACTAATAATACGACACATATTAATACGACGAAGAAAACATTGAAACAAGCATACGCATCATACGACTAACACTCATACTACTACCACTACTACTACTACTACTACTACTACTACTACTACTACTACTACTACTACTACTACTACTACTACTACTACTACTACTACTACTACTACTACTACTACTACTACTACTACTACTACTACTACTACTACTACTACTACGACTACTGCTACTACTACTACTACTGCTACTACTACTACTGCTACTACTACTACTGCTACTACTACTACTGCTAGTAGTAGTAGTAGTAGTAGTAGTAGTAGTAGTAGTAGTAGTAGTAGTAGTAGTAGTAGTAGTAGTAGTACTACTACTACTACTAAGAAAGGGGTGAAGACGAGCAGACAGAAGAGGAACATATCCGATGGGCCGCAGGAGGAGGAGGAGGAAGAGGAAGAGGAGGAGGAGGAGGAGGAATAGAAGTGAGGGGGAGAAGACCGAAGATAGAGAGAGCGAACCGCTGGAGAGGGAAACCGAACAGTTTCCCTGTCCGTCCACGGGAGAGGGCAGCTGACAAGCTGCCTCGTCCCCTTCGGGAATCGCCGTAGAGGGAAACTGAACAGTTTCCATGTCCGTCCACGACCATGGGGACGGTGACGAGGGCGAAGACAAGGAGGATAACAATGACAATGACAGAAAGGACGACGCTTATTCTGATAAAGAGGAGGACGAGGATGAGGACGAAGAGAGGGAGGAGGAGGGGGAGGAGGAGGAGGAGGAGGAGGAGGACGCGGACGAGGACGAGAACGAGGGGGAGGATGAGAACGAATAGGAAGAGGAGGAGGAGAAGGAGGTGGAGCAGGAGGACAAGGCTTAAGATGGGAAGGAAGGGGAGGAGCAGGAGGAGGAGGAGGCGGAGGGAGGAGGAGGAGGATGAGGAGGAGGAGGCGGAGGAGGAGGAGGAGAATAATGAAGAGGACGAGGACGAGGACGAGGACGAGGAGGAGGAAGAGGGCGGGGAGTAGGACGAGGAGAACGAGGATGACCTTGGATCGGACTCGGATCCAGCATTGGGTTCGAAGCTAGAGTCCACGGGAAAATTAAATATGCCGTCGTCTATCTGGCCGGCTGGGGGTTCCCACCGCCGTGTGGGGACAACAAGGGTATCAATCAAAATTGCTCACGCGTGGGAAGATTTCCTACGGAAATGGACCAAGTCCCCAAGAGTTCTCGGTCGGGCCAGAAATGGTTTGTGTAAGAGTATTTCCCCCCCTGTGTGCCTTGAGCCAAGAGCTCTCTAGATCTATGGACCGGAACAAGCTGGCCAGCGGCAGAAGCTCATCTCTCACCTCGGCGTCGTCTTTGGCGGCGTCGAGGGGCGACGGTGCTCCTCCGCGACAGGAGTCCCCGCCGATCCTCCCGCCAACAGGCACCAGCCGAAGTGCCGCGCGGGCCAGGGGCGCGCACCCCCTGCCGCGCTGGCCCGATTGTTATGCCTCCCTCCGCCCGTCTCCCCTCGGGCGAAGAGAACTATGCACATGCACCGATCCTGGCAAGGCCCATCCTCGACCCAGGATCGGTGCATGTGCCTTCCTGGCCAAGGTAGAGAGCGCATGCACCGATCCTGGGCTCAGGACGGGCCTGGCCAGAATCGGTGTATGTGCATCGATTTTTTTCCTCTATCCCCTCCACCCTCCCGCCTTCCCTTCACTCCTCATGTCTCTCTCTCTCTCTGTCCCTCTGCCTCCGCCTCGGCCTCCGCCTCTCCTCCTCTCCTCCTCTCTCTCTCTCTCCCCCCCTCTCTCCTTCCCTCTCCCTCTCTCTCCCTCGCTCCCTCGCTCCCGCCCTGCACCCCCTCCCCCCTAGGGCGACGATATCTATACATATCCACTGCTCCCGGCCAGGCCAATCCTGGGCCCAAGAGCTGTGTATACGCCCTCCTGGCTTGGCCAGGGAGGCATATACACCGCTCCTGGGCCCAGGATGGGCCTGGCCAGGAGCAGTGGATATGCATAGATCTCGTCGCCCCCCCTCCGCAGACGCCTACGAGCACCTGAGCCTCTTCCACGTCCCCCGGGGCGCGCCGCCCCGCTTCGCCTCGCCGGGGTCCGCGGCGGCGGCGGCCGCCGCCGTCAACGCGCAGCAGGCTCCGCGCTCGAAGGCTCTGGGGCGGCGCGCCGACGCCGCCGCCGCCGGAGGAGGAGGAGGAGGAGGAGGAGGAGGGGGAGGAGGGGGAGGAGGGGGAGGAGGAGGGAGGAGGAGGAGGAGGAGGAGGGGAGGAGGAGGAGGAGGAGGGGGAGGAGGAGGAGGAGGAGGAGGAAGGAGGAGGAGGAGGAAGAGGAGGAGGGGGAGGAGGAGGAGGAGGAGGAGGCAACGCTCCTGAGCCGAGGCGCTCCTGCCTGCCGCTCGCTTCGCCCTGGGCAGGTCGAGAGAGAGAGAGAGCGAATCAGTTGGACAGATCTTGGGGTGCGTGCGGAGAGGAGGCATGAACTCCGAGGGCTCGAGCGCAGTTCCGGGGCAGCGATGGTGGGCGGCAGGCGGGATGCGTCGACCCCCGATCGCCTACTGATCGCCGATGGGTGCCCGATAGGCCCAACCTGCCCAGGAGCGTGCGGATCCACTGTCAGGAGCCTGTCGCCGATCCATCGGCGATGCATCGCCGATTCGAAGCCGAGGTGTCCCCCCCCCTTATCGTTGCCCCTCAACAGTTGTGCGAGGGGGAGAAGGCCAGCAGCTGTGCTCAGGAGAGAGGCTCTCGAGGGCCACCCTGGAGTTTGGCGTCCTCTCTGCTTGGGGCTCGCTGTCCCCTATACTCATGGAGCACCCAATGGAAACCTTGGATCCCTCCACCTCCTCCTCCTCCTCCGCCTCCTCCGCCTCCTATTCCTCCTCCTCCTCCTCCTCTTCCTCCTCCTCCTCTGCCTCCTCATATCCTTCCTAAGGCGCCAAACTCATGGTTCCTGATCCTTGTGCGAAGGCTGTGACCCTTCTCTTGGCTTTGCTGCACGCGCTCTCCGCGCGAAGGGGAGCTGTCTGTTTGCACTCGCACCAGGGGCCATGCTGCAGTGGCAGGGTGGGCCGAGGCGGGGGACTGGCGCGCAGCCTCTGCAGAGGCGTACACCTCCGAGCTGAGCCGAGTGCTACGAGCTGCAATGGCGCAGGAAAACTGAATCTTTCAGTCGGCTCCCATTCCCCCACCCGGGGTATGGCTGATCGGCAAAGCACCCAGACCTCCTGCACAGTGCCAGAAGCTCAGGTAGTTTCCTAGAAGTTTCCCGATGCGTTTTTGGGGAGCCCAAACTCGGCTTGACCTTCGCCGAAGAAGCATCGATGCACACATATCTACACCTACCACGCGAGTCTGATATATGGATGCTCACCACTTCGACAATGTCAATGTCATATGCCATTCTTTTTGTATCCCGACGTGCCCACCATGGACATGTATTGTATGATTCATAACCCCAACAGACGAGGTCCAGGAAATGGCGAAAGTCCTGCAGGAGGCGTGCTACTTGCTTCGTGCGTGCGACCTCCTCCCTCTTCATTGGAATAGCGCACCTCATCTTTCTCTTGAGAGGAGTGCGCGGCATCGATCTCTCGCAGTACCCATTGGGGAGGTCTCAGGAGGAGGACGGGCTTGAGTAGGAGAGGAATTAATGGGGATGGGGAGGACGAGAGAATGAGGATGAGGATAAGGATGATACTGATGATGATGATGCTGCTGATGATGATGATGCTGATGGGGGTGATGATGATACTGCTGCCGATGCTGCTGATGATGCTGATGCTGATGCTGCTGCTGCTGATCAAGATGATGCTGACGACGATGATGCTAATGCTGATAATGATGATGATCATGATGATGGCGGTGATGCTTATGATGCTGATTCTGATGATGATGATGCTGATGATGCTGATGATGGTGATGCTGATGATGATGTTGATGACGATGCCGATGCTGATGCTGATGCTGATGCTGATGATGCTGGCGGTGATGCTGACGATGATGCTGACGATGATGCTGATGATGTTGATGATGTTGATTATGATGAGGGTGATGATATTGATGATACTGCTGATGATGATGATGATGACGACGACGACGACGACGACGATGATGATGATGATGATGATGATGATGATGATGATGATGATGATTATGATGATGATGATGATGATGGTGATAATAATATTGATGGAGTTTGTGATGATGAATATGATGAAGTTGATGACTGATGGTGGTGATGATTAGGATGATGACGGTTATCGTTGATTGTTGATTTCTGTCATGGTTATCATTGTTATGCCGTTGCTGCTGATGATGCTGATGATGCTGCTGCTGATGATGCTGTTGTTGATGAGGATGATGAGCAAGGTGAGCACGATTATGAGGAGGAGGAGGAGGAGGAGAGGAGCAGGAGGAGGAGGAGGAGGAGGAGGAGGAGGAGGAGGAGGAGGAGGAGGAGGAGGATTCCAGAATATTCCCAGCATCCTTCAACGATGCTGCATGACACCCTCCCATCTCAAGCACCCTCAGAAGATCCTGCAAGTATCGAAGACGCCTACGGCGAATCACCGCCGCCCCCTGCCTTTGTGGAAGCGCCTATGTGGCCGAACGTTGAGGCCAGACCTGCCAAGCCATCGGACCATGTGTTCCCCGAATCGGTTTGGAAAGCCTTCGGGGAACACGTGGGCGTCTTGATGGTCATCGTCGCCGTCTTGGAGGCCTCTTGGGCGATCTTTCGGCGATCTTTGGGGGCTCTTGGGCCGTCTCGGGCCGTCGGAAGGCCGAAAAAAGGGAAATGCCCAAATCCATCAAAAACCTTGGGAAAATCAGTGATTTTGGCATCTTTTGGCCTTCCTGGAGGCCCTCTTGGGGGCCTCTTGGGCCCTTTTGGGCCAGCTTCGAGCCAACTTCGGCCATCTTGGTGGGTTCCTGGCACGTCTGACGCCGTCGGGAGCCGTTTTGGGGGCCTTTCTGGGCCAACGGGGGACCCTCTTGGGGCGCTCAGGGCCGTCTTGGAGGCCATCTTGGGCGTCTTGGAGGCCATCTTGGGCGTGTTGGAGGCCTCTTGGGCCGTCTTGGGGCCCTCTAGGGGCCATCTTGGAGGCCACTTGGGCCATCAGGGGGCTCTCTTGGGGGCCTCTTGGGCGATCTTGGGGGCTTCTTGGGCCGTCTTGAGCCGTCGGAGAGCCGAAAAGGCGCAAATGCCAAAATCCTTCAAAAACCAATGGAAAATCAATGATTTTGGCCTCTTCGGACTCTCCTGGAGGACCTCTTGGAGGCCTCTTGGGCCGTCTGGGAGGCCTCTGGGGGGCCTCTTGGGCCGTCTTGGGCCGTCTTGGACTCTCTTGGGCCGTTTTGGAGGCCGTCTTGGACCATCTCGGGCGGACTTGGAGGCCATCTTGGGCCATCTTCGCGATTTTTTGAGGATGTCCCGAGCGAAACGGCCGTTTTTTGGAGGATTTTTTCCGGTCGTTGAGCACGTTTGGGGATTTTCCGGGTGGCCGGCGGGTTCTGCCGGAGCCCACTGGGGAGTTCTTTTGGAAAAAGAACCAAAACCAAAACCTGAAATGTCCAGCACGCCGTGCACCCCTGCAAGCAGGGGGCGGCGGATCTAATGGCCTTAGGGCCATCCCGCCTCCGTGCTTGGGTTGTGGGTTAACGGCCTCTAGGATGTTCGTTGGGATGCCGCGGGAGGCCTCTCGGGGGCCTTTTGGGAGCCGTTTGGAGGCCTGTTGGGGGCTGTTTTGGGGCATCTTGGGGGAGTTTTTGGGGCCTCCTGGGGCCTCCTTGGGGCCTCCTGGGGGCCTCTCAGGGCGGAAGACTCGGATCTTCGCTTTGTGTTTCCCTTCTTGGGCTCTTCTTAGGGCTGTCTTTCGGCCCTCTTGAGCCGTCTTGGATCTCTCTTGGGCCGTCTGGGCGCCCTCTTGGGCCGTCTTGGGGCGGTCTTGGGGCCCTCTTGGGCCGTTTTGGAGCATCGGGAGCTCGAAAAGTCGAGGACCCCAAACCCATTGAAAAACCAACGGAAATCAAAGATTTCGGCTTCTGGGAGCTCTCGTAGGATGGCTTCTTGGGCCGTCTTGGGGCCATGTTGGGCATCTTGGACCGACCATGCGGCGATTCGGGCTCCTCTTGGGCCGTCTGGCATGGGCGGCCTTCCTCTGGGCCCGTCTTGGGGCCCCCTTGGCCCGTCTTGGGCCCCCCTGTGGCCCGAAGAGCATTACGCGACAAGCCGCGGCAGGCTCCAGGGGGCACGCCGGGAGCCCCAAGAGATTTGGCAATGTGGGATCTGGGCCGGGCCCCTACAACGAAAACCTCAGGAGTGAGCGTTGAGGCTCAAGGGATCAGGCAAAGGTCCTGGGATTCGCCGGCGGCAGCCGCCGCCGGTCTCCGCATTCATGACATTTCGGGCTACGTGCTGCCGGCACGCCGACAGAGGCAAGGCCACGGGCTGCGGCCCAGCACGCCCACTTTTTTTTCATCCTCCACCTGAGGACGCTCCAACTCGTGCCTCAGGGCACGC